TAAATAAATAAATCTTACCAAAAATAATAGGAAGGGCTTCCTGCTAGGGCACTATGGCATGTCTTATTGCATCACTTATTGTCGCCTACTTCCTGTTCCTCCCACCTTTTAAGAAAAGGGAAAAATACCAAATCGTAAACAACCTTAGTTTGTTAAACACATAGAAGTCCATCTTTAGGTGTTGAAGACACACGAGCTGTGGTCACTGTATTAACTCTGTGGTTCTTACCCTTTCTTACTTTGTAGTTATAAGGCGCCCAGGCATTCACCTGTCCACTCTTTCCACAGTACCCATTGACCATGTGCCCTGTCCTCTGTAAGGTGTAAGGGACAGAGGGTGACAAGGGGATAGAGCTCACAATGTACAAGAAGAAACGGGGCAAGGGCTGTAGTTATTTGTGTATAATTTTTGCTCTCATTTGCCGTTACGCTCTACGGCAAAAACACATCTCAGAAGCCACGGCACTTAAAATCCTGCTTTGTTCTAACAGGAGCTGGGTAGAGATTTTTTCAGTTATTAATGTAAGATGTGACCCTGCTTACTCCCAGAAGGCGGAGAAGATAATTAGATACTTAGGAAAGTAAAATGCCTCCTTTGTTTCTTGTGTTGAGTGAGAAGTGCACACATGGAGGTTTGGTGGCAGTCTCCACATGGAGAAATCACCTCGCAGGCTTCCAGCTCCATGCCCAGATCCCTCCACTGTACACCCTGGTTGTTCCAAGTTGCCCCTTTCCCTGCTAACAGCAGGCATTCAGGTGCAACTGAAGCCACTGGGTCTTTGGGAGGCCGATGGAGTGCAGAATTATGGACACTGAGATTTCCTGCTACGTGAGCTAACACTAGCAGAGTAGACAGAATCTCCATGGATGCAGTAGGTGGTTTTCCTCAGGTGGCTCTAATTTGTCTGCCAGGTAAGGATTCTGGGGATGGACCATGCTAACCCCATATAGCATGTCCAGCCTGTGGTGGGCATGGTGCAGGTTTTGGGGAAACAAGCCAGAATGATAGCTGTCCTCCTTCTGCACAACCCTGGGTATTGTTTGGTCTGCTAACCCTAACTCTCACCCTAACCAGTCAAAGAGCAGCCCACATAAACATCCAGATTTCCCTGATAGGTTAACCTTTGCTGATTCTGTTGATCTAAATTCTGCCTGAAAGACTTGGGAACTAATGTGGATAGTTTTGATCTCCTCCCCCCTTTTTATTATACTTGTGTGTGTATGCATGTAAATATGTTACAAATGTGTGTGCATGTATATGTATACATATATATACTTATTAAGCTGCTCAGAAGAGATCATTTGATAAGTTTATTTTTATTTTTTATTTATTTTTATTATATATTTTAAAATATTTATTTATGTGTACAGAACTGGGGTACAGGCCAGAGGTGCAGGGGGGGGTGAGAGGATTCACCAGAGACAGAGTGGGGAGCAGAACAGGCAATACTGAAGTACACTGCTGAGGGGAGCAGCAGACGGGTCAGGAGAGGTCTGCTGCGCCATGTGGGTCAGCTCCCTGGCCCTGGAATCAAACTCGTGCTGCAGTGGCTTCTTAGAGCTTCATAATGTGGTGTTTTAACCTGTTGTGCCACTAGGGAGTGTCCCCTTTTTTTTAATTTATTTTTTTTATTTTTTAAAGAAAGCATCTCATCAAGTCTGTCCCTTTGTTTATAATTCTGCATTTAGTGACAACATGGAGTGACAAGGCATATCATCTGTCAGAGTTTCAGTTTCCTTTTCCAGAATAGCAAAAGGGTACAATCTACAAATATGATACAGTCATCATATACATAGAATCGTATGAAAACTCAAGTCCGGGGGTAGAGCACTGAAGTCTCTACGTGTGTTGTTTCATTTGTTTTGTTTAGCCTGCTAAGATTTCCTGAAGTACATTAGATTTTTAAAGCTGTTGGATACCTGTGATTCTGTTTTATTCCAGTTCTAAAGAGAACTACTGTTCTCTTTTTAATTAAGGAGGACAAAGAAAACCTTGTTGTGGGAAAGTAGAATAACAGGTCTGGCCAGGTGAGCCTTAAAAGGGTTTGCAAGATGCTCATGTGTTTCTGACATCCTGCTAGCAGATAAACAGAGCAGTCTTCTTAGAGAAATATATATTTTTAAAGATATATTTTATTTATTTATGCATATAAGAACTGGGGTGTAGGCCAGGGGTGCTGTGTGAGTGAGAAAGAAGATTCACGAAATCGAGTAGGGATTAGAACAGGAAGATTGACTGAAATACACAGCTGAGGGGAGCAGCGGGCGAGACAGAAGAGGTCTGCTGCACCAGTAGGTTCTGGCTGAATATGAACTTGTGTTGCAGTGGCTGCAAACCCTTGTGCCACCTGGGGGGCCCAGGTAGTGCTTCTTTATAGTCTATGGAGAGCCACCTGGAGAAACTGATGATAATGTGTGACTTTTATTTTTGCAGGAGGCCATTATTGAAAACCGAAGTCTGTGGATAATAATCAAAAAGTGTTTTGGGTATCAGTCAAAAAGCCAGTATCGGGTATGGCAGAGGACCTTGGCAAGTGACCCCAGCTGGCCCCCGATAAATCAGACCTCCTACTCCGATGTCCTGTGGTATGGCAGAGAGGTGTCCTACAGCAACCCAGTGTTCGAGAGCAATGAGGAGCAACTTTGAAGGCAAAGTGATATCTGATCCAGGTTGATATAACATAGAAATGCTGATAAAAGGGACCAATTTCAGTGATTTTTAAGCAAGAAGACTCATAACATCAGCCAGTGTCTTGGGACTCAAAAACCCATCCAATCATGGTGGCCAATTAAACTCTGTTGGATAAAATTTTTACAGACCAGAACACGGCCCCAGAGAGTGCTTTCCTCAGGGCATCTTGATTCAGTGAATCAAGACCAGGCCCAGATGGCAAAAGGCCAAGAGAATGGGAGGCTAATGGAGAGGGAGAATATTTAATCTCTCTTCTTCACTTATCTATTTTTTCAGTCCACTGAGGGAAAGTAGCAGTACATATAGTCATAAAGTTGTAATATGTTCAAGGTCATTTTTGAATTTTTATTTCATTGATGGAAAAAACAGAGCCTGGGAACCATCACACATTCTTCTGTTCTGTTTTCTTTCCCTTTGCTGTACTTGTCAGATTTCAGATGCTTCTACTTCTGGCCTTCCCTTACATATTAGTAAGGATAGGCTCAGTTGATGCTGCAGTAATGAGCAACCATAGCTCAGTGATTTAACATGCAATGCATCTTTCTTGGTCTAGGTGACTCTGGACTGTCCTCGAAGCAGGGAGTCTTCGAGCTAAGGGTTCCTCTGATGGAACGTGTGAACTGTTTTCTGTGACAGGGAAGGAAATGCCTGGTGATGAAGCAAGGGCTCCTCACTGCTTCCCCTCCCATCACTCACACCTCATTAACCAGGGATTTGGCAAAGTGTCTAGGGAGTGCCATCTCTTGCATTTAGGGCCAGCTTTGTGGCCTGTGACTTATGCAATCATGTAGGGCCCCATGCTTTGAAGGGCTCCCCAATTAATACACTGCCCTACTCTTGCCCATCCTCAAATCCTTCAGTTTTGAGCAAGGGCCCCCACTTTTTCTTTTACACTGGAACCCACAATAGTGTAGTTGGTCCGGCTTGTACTCGTGGGAAAGAAAGGGAAACAGTACATCTCGAGAGCTGCTCCCTAGAATCTACGTTCTTGACCTTGTGAATGTGTTTTAGGACCACTCACCTCATGTACCCCAGGAGTGCTCACTCTTTCCCTTCTTTATATTTGAGAAAGGTTGTAGTCTTGTGCTACAACATTACATAGATGATAACACTATTTGTTATCACCAATAAATAAGTCCTTATGTAATCTATACATTTTTTTAAGTTGGAAGTTCCAGTTTCCAGAAAATAAAAATTCCCCAAAAAATAAAAATTTCAATCACTACTGCAATTTGGCTATATTGAATTCAGTAGAGAAAGCATCCAAGCTTCTGTTAGCTTAGTAGACCACGCTGATTTCTAGGAAAACTGTAAATACTATTTCAGAAACTATAAAATTTTTACATAAACATCAAATCCTATGCAAATATTTTAAGCAGATGAGTGTCCCAACCCTGGATAAGGGGCTGGCTTTGCTACTAATCAAGAGCATCTGCAGGCATTCCCTTCCCTGGCATCACTCCTGAACTTGAATGGGGCCTCTGTGACTGCAGATACTTTTAGGATTGTGATGTTTTTCAACCATGACTGTGCCTTGTTGCTTCTGGTTTTAAACCAGAGTGGGTGTGAAGAATCATCCAAAGAAATTGCACAATCTTTGTCTTCTTTGATACAGAAAGAAATGTTTCCTGTCACAAAGTCAGCCATAGCAATGATAAGGCAGTTCTGAATGTCTTTTCCTAAAACTGGTAGTTTTTTTCCTTTTTTCAAAAGTGGAGGGTGGGCAGGGGCAGCTGGAGATGATCTACCCAGTGATGAGCAGAGCAAAAGATCCCTTGATCTGGTGCTTTCACTTCCACTAGCTCATTTGATTGCACAATTACCCCAGGATACAAACGAGAAGGGTTTATCACTCCACCTTACAGGTAAGAAAACTGAGATTCAAGCTGAGGAGAAGAGACCCAGGGCTTGGACATAGATCTTCTGAGAAAGTCTTCTGTTACTTACAACTAGTTCCCAGAATGATTACAAAGCTCCAGCAAGGTAGGCTGTACAATGTGATCTTACAGGAATGAGTTTCTTACTTGCCCTAAGGAAGAAGCAGCCCTTGGCTAATCTCAGGGCATTCTATTCAAATAAATACCAGGTATCCTTACCAGGTTTGGGCTAGAAACATGTTAAAAATCCAAAGTGTCCATCTTTCTGAGATTTGGTTTTTCCTGCCTTGATCCTAAGTGATTCCATCCTCAGCAACTCATATGCCACTGGCAAGGTACAGGGGTGGAGGACTGTGGTTCCCCATCACCCAAACAACTTTAACATCTTTCCTAGATGACTCATTTGCTAGAAGACTGCACTTGAGACTGACAGTGTCTTAGGGGCAGGGAGTGAAGGAGGGGACATAAGTGATTATCCAAATTGCTGAAATGTTAACCATGGGAGACCAGGCTCTGGCCTGTGCTGGTGGCAATATGAGAGGGTTAAGAGCTTGTTAGGAGCTTTGAACTGAGAGGAAATCTCAGTCAACCATCAACTCTGACTGAAGTGGAAACTGGTGTCCTCACCAAGCGTGTGCTGTGTGACAGTGGAGGTGTGAGTGGGTAGCCAAGGACCTATTCAAAAGGAAGTCAAGTGTCAAATGAAACTCAGCGGACTTCAGGATCCTTCCAGTTTTGATGTGTCCAGTGTCTCAGGCTCATGCTGTGATGTGAACCATGCGCTTCAGCTGCCCACACAGAATGTGAGACTAGCCCCCGGGGAAATAGGCTGGGGAGGGCGGCTCCCACCCTGGGAAAGCCCCTGGTATGGATAAACAGGTGTAGCTGCTCTCTGCCTCGGAAGGTGGGTCCTGGTGGCATGTGAACTTAGAAATGAGATCTCCGGAGGTGTCCTGGCTGCCAAATTGATAGGGGACAATTCCTGGTGTGTGTGTGTTTTTTTGAAAGAGGTATTTAAAAATGTTGAGTAAAGAGTGTGAGAGTTCCCTGAAACCCAGTTAGAGCTCCTGTTATGCTTTCCTGGTCAGGACTCGATCCAAAGTGGACTCAGTTCCCAGAAGCAAAACATTTGAGAGATTCCCTCTATATTCACTCCAAGTTATAGCACTCTCACCACCAGAGGAGCCTGACTGTAGACTCTCCTCACTAGCTAGGTCATGATCTGAGAATGGAACTAGGCCGCACCATCCGCCTTTTTATGTGCTCACAGAAGTGTGTACAAGTAGATATTTGCAGATATGCTGACTGGAAAAAAGTGATTATTTATTTAGAGCTTTATATGTAGTTTATGCTATAATAAATTATTCTGTACAAATGGGCAAGTGAGATCTGTAATTCTGTTCGCCCCAAACTTCTTATCTCTCTTTCTCTCATTCTCCCCACCACCTCTGTGGCTAACGAAATAACATAGTCTACTCCAGTAATATTGAGGTTAAGCAACATATCTACAATTTCCAGCCATTTTTAACACTCCAGAAACTATTATATCCCTGTTTTATACATAGAACATTGCAGTCTACAAAATTCTTATATTCTCATTCCCTGGCTTAAAAATCACAACAGGGCCCTCCCTGGCACAGTGGATTAAAGCACAGCACTATGAAGCTCTCTTCAGCCACTGCAGCATGAGTTCGATTCCCAGCCAGAGAGCTGACCCACATGGCACAGCAGACCTCTCCTGACCCACCTCCTACTCCCCTCAGCAGTGTACTTCATTAGTCTGCCCTTTTTGCTCCCCACTCTGTCTCTGGTGAATCTTCTCAACCCCTGTGCCGCTGGCCTGTGCACCAGTTCTTGTAGCATATATAAGTAAATCTTAAAAAAAAAGTAATAATATTCTTAAGAGGAGGACACAGCAAAGGTTGTTCCTTTCTTGCCCCTAGAGGAGATATCTGTAGCCCTGAAGAACAAGAAGGTGAGCAAGGCAGCAGCCTAATGGATTATCATACAGGTATGATTCCTCCAGAAAGAGATTTTATTTTTCATGGAATTTCTCTTGAACCTGCACATCAATCACAGGAAAGGTCATCTCTTATAGCTGAGAGAGTAAACTCTCAAAACTAGAGCCCTCAGGGCCTATTTCATGTCATTAGACAAAACGCTGGTTTCTGACTTCAATCTCCAGAAGCAGAAACCTGTAGCTGCTCATGCTTTGTGTTATATAGTATTTTAGGGTCAGGTAGATTCTCTCTTAGCTTGGTATTAAACTCACTTCTTCGTGCATAAAAAATATTTGAAAATAACTGCCTTACAATTTTTTGTCTACCCTTTGGCTTCTGCTGCCTCTATTATAGTGACCCTCTAAACATTACTAACAAAATTACTTTCTTCAAAATTGAACACACATACTTGTTCCTATTCAACTACAATAAAAAATGCACCTTTCTTGAGCTGTCGAGCAATTCCCCCTGGTTTGTCACACGGCACGCTTGCTCCTCCCTCAGGGTAACTGGACCTGCCATCCCTCAGGGAGACTGAGCCTTGAGTGCCCCCACCCATACCCGCCCTGTCCCCTGTGAGTGACTCTGTGTCCTTTAGGTTTCAGCTTTCTGTCACTTCCTGAGGAGTAGGAATGTAAAACAATTTGCACTGAACAAACCTGTCTCATCTCAGAAATTTCCCTGTCTCCTAGCCTATGTTGTGGCAAACTTTCATTCCTGCAGTCATGCTCACAGTATTCAGTAATCACTTTTATTCCCAGCATACAGAACATTTCCACCTCTAACTTTACATATGCTTTTCTTTTTCTTTGTGGGCATAAAATTTTTAATTTTAATGCTGCACATCCAAATTCCACCCATTTCTCAAGATCCAATTAGAGTGCTGCCCCAGCTGCAAACCCACAGGAATGCTCTCGTCTGTCGAGCACACACTCCCAACACCCATTGTTTATGGCATTTTTACCTTGACTGTGGTTCCAGTACTTCAGTGTCTCTCAACTCACACCCAATCCCATTTCAGCTAGTGAATGAAACCTCTGAGGGTGGGGACCAAGTCTGATCCAGCTCATCTTCACAC